GCCTGTTTGTGGCCAGGATAAAAGTGAGATGTTTGTATGGTAGTTCACTATTTGATTTTCCACAGTGGCAAAACTAGAATTTAAGCACAGCTGGTTTGCCCCCAAGACCATTGTGTAAGAACACTGGAATTGCTTTCAGTTATTAAAGAATCTGAATTGGAGCTACAGGAACTAACAGGAAAATGTCATGTGTATGTCTATCATATATAGTATCAAGTGCATGATTATTTGTATGCTGTGATTTAATTTCTGTCAAAAATGTGTGGGATAATAATTATTCAAAATCATTCATTCTTTCATGCATTTATGTGTTTCACAGCAGGGCGGAAAATTGAACCTAGGGCCACTCTAACCCTGAGCTATCCCTAGACCTTTCTATTTTTTACTTTGTGAAAAGGCCTCACCAGATTGCTTAGGCTGACCTTAAACTTATGAATGTTCTGTTTCTGCTTCCCTGATAACTGGGATTCCAGGTATGTGAGTCCAAGCCTGGCAAACAAAAGAATTTTGCTCTCTAGTAGTTAATGATTCACCTATCTGTAAGATGGAATTAGATGACACTGTGTGTGTGTGTGTGTGTGTGTGTGTGTGTGTTCAAGTCAGTATCATATGTTTTTCTTATTTAATTAAGAAATAAAAATATTTTTTATGTAAAACCAGTTGTCCTGAAATACATGTATACTGTGGAATGACTAAGCCAAGGTAGTTATGTACATTACTGCACATTCTTAGCATATTTTTGAGAAGAATAATTAAAATCCACTCCAATGCCCATTTTCAGGAATATTTCTTATCACTGTAGTCACATGTATTTTTTGTAAGGAAACTTTTGTGGCTTTTGGCCAATGTCTCCCCTATCCAATAACCACAGTAACCACTGTTTCCCTCTCTACTTCTATGAGTTCCACATATTTAGATTCCACTGTACATGAGATTGTGTGGCATTCATCTTTCTGTATCTGGCTGATATCACCAAGTAGCATAAATGTCCAGGTTACATTTGGAATGTCCAGGTTACAGCAAATGGCTTAATTTCAAACACTTAGAGTGTCTTGTTCGTGAGTGCATATTAGTTATACAGAATAGTGGGTTGTGTCTAGGCATATTCCCACACACGTTATACAGTTTTTAAATTATTTTCATTCTCATTACTCTTCTTACCATTTCTTCCCTCTTATTGCATTGCTCTTCTCTCTAGCTCTAATTTTATGTTCCCCCTCTTTTCCCTTCTCTCTGCCTCTCTCCCTCCCTCTTTCCAATAAGCTGTGCATAGGACCTTGTGTGTTACCAACTCCTCCATGTTGTTCATGGAAAAAAAGTAGCTGCTGAACCCTGCCCCAGTCCCAGGGGGAATATGGAATTTTGCATAGTTGTTCCACCATCCTTGGTTTAATGTGATGGAAAGCAAAATCATTAGGATGAAATGACTAATGAAAAAATGAATAAATCCTACATTCATTAAGAGTGGTGCATTTCATGTACGATGTGGTGGTCTAGGCCTATAATCCCAGCGCTCTGAGTGGCCGAGGCAAGAGGATCACAAGATGGAGCCTAGATTGGGCAGCTTAGTGAGACCCTGTCTCAAAACAAAAACTATAAATAAAACATACTGGGGATATAGTTCATTGGTCAAACCCTATGGGTTCAATTTCCTTTTCTATACATACACACTGCCACAAAATGACACAATAGTGCATTTCACTGTGTAAAGTTCACATCCAAAAGAAAGCCATTAAAACACATTTTAATCCTTAATTAGTGTTTTACTTCCTGAAATAATTACTGTAACTTCTACCGTTGTGTGCAATTTTTATGTATCAAGAACTAAGATGGATTTATTGAGGGGTAGGGATATAGACAAATCAACAGATCAATGAAAAAAATGCATTTGTTACTTGATGTCCGCAAGAAATTGTTTCTAGGATTCCCCCAAGGACACAAAAATCCCGACACTCATATCCCTTCTATCTAATGGCATAGTATTTGCATATAACCTGTACATGTTCTCTGCTCCTTGTGGCTTAGAGTAACTGATAGAATGGAAATACAATTTAACAGTCATTATACCATATTGATTGAAATAATCCCAGAAGAAAAGGAAGATGGGTTCGGTATACTTTCCCCAGAGACTTTCAATATGCAGTTGTTTGGGTGTCTGGATGCACAAGCCTGACTGCAGAGCTAAATGTGAAAAAAATGCAGGTGGTAATTGGGTGTTCACCAGAAGTTTTTCAATTTTCTTGACTATTTGAAAGATTTTATAAAATAATCAGAAAAATGAAGAGCAAAGAAGAATAAATAATGTGTACATAAGATCAGTTCAAAATCAAAGCTGAATAAAGATGAGGAGGAATTGGCATGAAATATTAATTGTGATGAAGTTACATGTGGCTTTTATTTACTTTTTGACCTTCAATGCATTAATCAAGGATTTTCCTTTGAAAAAAATCTGTGACCACAACATCTCATCACCCCAACTAGGCTGCTGCATCTCCCTGCTGTGTCCCCCAGTCATGACTGTGACACGGAGCACCTTCTGGGCCCCATAGTCCTCTCATCCCAGCTCTGATGTGTACCCACACTGACCTCTCAGAGGAAGACCACACGTGCTGAGCACCCACTCACTCTTCCTCTCCTGCCTCAGCCTCCTGAATGGCTTCATCCCTGCCATCACCTGCCACCTCTCAGGATGACGCCTTCTTCTGGGCTTTAGTTTTTGTCAGTGATCTTTTCCAGAAATTAAAGAAGGGAAATTTGAATTTTACCTCATACTACCTTAGACCCCTCACATGGGAAAACAAACAAACAAAAAACTACAAAGCCATAAATAAGAAATTACAAAATATCTGAGAACAATTCTTCCAGCAACATAAGAGGGCTGCATTACCTAATTTATCTGGAGCTTAAAATCAAGTTAAAAAGCTAAAAGAAAGGTGATGAATTAAATTTTAAAATGTTGAATGCCCCAGAGGGAAGGAAGAAGTGTAAATTAATGATCTCAGACAGGCACAGTAGCACATGCCTATAATCCCAGCTCTCTGGGAGGCTGACCCAGGAGGATTGCAAATTCTGGGCCACCCTGGGTGGGCATTTAGTGATTTAAAGAGATCTGAAATAAAAAATAAAGGTCAAGGGGCTGGAGATTTAGCTCAGTGGTTCTGATGCCTGTTTAAATAAATATAAAGATCAGGTCATAAAGTTCAGTGGGAATTCCCAGGGTTCACTTGCCAGCCCTGCAAAAGTAAACAATAAAAGAAATGCCTACCACAATATAAAGATACAATTTCTATCTTCAAGTAGGCAAATATTAGATTAAAAAGTTGTATGGCACCTGATGTTCTTGTTAGTGGGGGATTCAGAAATGATTACTAATGCATTGTTTGAATGGTATAAAGCAATGAAACTTTTCTGAGACAATTGCACGATATCTATTAAATCTAAACATGCATGCTCCCATTGAAATGGACCTTATTTGAAATTTATATTTTCTATTTATATAATTTCACCACAATTATATATATAAACATTTTATGAGAGTAGAGGAATAAAAGGATGGAAAAATCCTCACATTATCCCACATATGTGAACAACACACTATTTTTAGAAATACAGAAGCTTGACTGTCAACAAAGCAAGAATCAAGTATCAGGATGAAGTCCAAGTATATCCCTCAAATAGCAAATGCAAAGCTTTTTCAAGAAAGAAGCCATGTCTTAAAACACTAAGTACAAGAATTCTTTCTTTTGTAGAACCATAGGTGTTGCAAAGTACTGCATGTTACTAACAGCCAAAAAGAATCTACAGAGACCTGCTCCAGTCAATGAGAAGCATGAAATTTTGGAAAGTTGTTCCACCTTCCAAATTAATACATTGGCTTAGTGTGATGAGAGCGAAATGTTAATGATGAAAAGACAAGTGAAAAAATGAGTGAAACCCCTATCCGGAAGAGTGGTGCCTTTCACGTAGGCTGTGGTGGTGTAGGCCTGTAATCCTAGTGCTCTGGGAGCCTGTGCCTTGGGAATCACAAGTTGGAGCCCAGATTGGGTGACCTATTGACTTCATAAAATAAATATGAATAAAGTGAGTTGGGGATGGAGTTCAGTGGGCAGGCTGTAGTTTACATCTGCTCTAGCTCATGTCCAAAAGCAAAGCACTGTAAGCACCAATTCATCCCTGGTTAGTTTCACACTTGCTGGAGTCATGGGGAGATGTGCACTGATGCCTGCCATTTAGTACAAGTGCATCAAAGAATAATTTTGATCTATAAATAGAGATAGGCAAATGGACAGATATGTGGAAAAGGAAATACATGCATCCCTTGGTATGCACAAGGAAGTGGTTCCAGGATGCTACAAATGACATCAATGCCCTGTGAAGGTCCGTGTCTTGGGTCAAATGTCACAGGGTTGTACATAACCTGTGCAAATTCTCTGCTCTGCTTTTAATTATCTGCAGATGGCTTATAATACTTATAATACGCAATAGAGCTTACGTGCTATGAGACAGTTGTACTGCACTGATTAAAAAGTAATCAGATTTAGCTAGGTGGTGCTGCTGCCTGCCTCACAAGCTCAAGGTCCCAAGTTTGATCGCTGGTACCAAAAAACATACGTAAAAAATATAATCAGAATAATCAGTGCATGTCTGCTATATTTTTGCATACATTTTCAACCCACAATTAGATCCCTGGATGCAGAGGGCTGACTGTAGAGGAAAATGTGAATGATAAGACCTAGGTGTAACTATTTGGCTTTTTTCTGTAAATTTTTTCTACTTTGTGGATTTTTTTAAAGATTTCCTAATGACAGGTGAAAATAGAGAGCAGGGAACAAGGACGAGCTAAGATGTACATAGGAGGAGTCCACCTCATAGGAGAAGCACAAGCTGAGTAAATGTGAGGAGCAATAGGGCCAAGATATTAACTGTGCTGAAATGACAAGTGGATTTCATTTATCTCTGCCAGTTGCACACATTGATCAGCTTTCTTTTTCTTAAAACAGTAGCCTCATGCTGGATTTCTAGTGCCACAGCCCCATGCACACAGCAGCAGCATCTCCCTGGGATATGCCTGGGCATGATTGTGACTTTGAGTGCCTGCTGCCCCCAGAGTCCTCTCATCACAGCTCTCCTCTGTCCTCATTGGCATCACCAGTTGGGCGACTTATAAAGGCCCTGCCTAAGGAGAAAAATCACAATGCCTGGCATGTTACTAAGTGCAAGACCTTGCATTCATCACCCAGGACAGAAGAAGACTTGATCTTGTGAGCAAGAAAAGAATTGCATATGAAGAGAATAAATGAATATGACATTTGTCCTTTTGTGTTGGCACAAATTTGACACAAAAATTGAATGGTACTTGGTGTGGTTGAGGTAGGAACTGGAAAAGATTACCTAATGTGTTCATTGAATGGTAAAAGTGATGTGACTTTCTGAAAGGCAACTAGGAAATATCTATTAAACTAATAAATGCATGAGCAAGGCACTGGAATATATATTATGCCAATATTTATATATTTTTTCTAGGATCATTATGTATAAACATTTTTAAAATGAAGTAGATGAAGAGGAAGAGTAGGATGAAAAAACACACCTATAGTGACTAAGATAACTGAACATAGCCTAACTCTTAGCTCATTGTCTAAATAAAGAAGATTGCTTGTAGGTAAATAAATCAAGAATCAAGTATCAGAACAAGTTACTCGGGTAGTGCTCAAACAGCAGAAAAGCAGAATTTATACTGAAAGAAAGAAAAATGGCTCTGTGAATTTTAGGACAAACTTGCCCAAGAATTCAGAATCTGGAGTCAGCGGTAAAGTGAAATTATGGGGTATTGTACCTTCCTTTTACTCCTCGGTGTTATAATTTTTTTTGTTTGTTTTTTGAGACAGGGTCTCACTATGTAGTTGAGACTGTCCTGGACCTCACTATGTAGCCCAGGCTGGTCTCAAACTCACAGTGATCCTCCTGCCTCAGCCTCCCGAGTGCTGGGATTACAGGCGTGCGCCACCACTCCTGGCACCTCGGTGTTATAATTTTATTTTGTAAGCCGGTATTTATTTTTAGGGATGAAAGTTATACAGGATATGCTAATCAATATGTCAAGAGCCTATCTGTACTTTGATTCTGTTTTCCAAAGCATTCTTCTGTTTGTCCACAAGATGGCTCAAAAGAACATTAAATACATTATGATACATAGTAGGGACTGTGCTTTATCAGAGCTACATTTAATGATAGTAGCTAGAATGTTCTCTTTCCAGATGATGATTAAGATGCTAATAAAAAAAATGGTGCCAGGTACCACAACAGCAACAGAACTTTGCTGTTTTCTGGATATTATTCTTTTCTATGTTTTTGTTTTTGTTTTGTTTTGTTTTGTTTTAATGGAATGTGCTAAATGTCTATAATTTTGTTCAGATGACTGCAGAACCTGGAAAAGCTGTTGCTGCTATCGATGCATAACATACTGCTATTATTAGTCTTTTTATACAAATATAAATATATACATATATACATATATATATAAATTGAATTTTGGGAAACTTTAACGGTGCTGCCAACTTTGGAAAAAGTCATCCCAATTTATTGTGTTGAGTTGCCATTGTACAGAATTGGACAGCCATATTGGTCTAGAAATGTTAAATTTTTTTATTTTTATTTTTTACTTTTTTTTCCATGTGTACAGGGGTAACACATCATACTAAATATGTAAGGTCATATCTACGTGGGTTTGATTACAGAAACTAATAAAGTGTTCTCTAAATAATGAAAAAAAAGAATAAGATAAGACTATAAGAGCAAGAAACAATTTAAATATGTTAAGGGACCATTTTCATCTCCAGAATTAAGGATTATTTTAATGTTACATCATTGCCTTTTCTCTTTTACTTTCCCTTTTGGTTTTATTTTAGGATTCCCTATTTTTAATGTTCATACAGAGATTTCTTTAACTGAAAGACCAAATAGTTTCTTTGGTGTGAAAAACTATAATAGTACACAGGATCCTAATGAGATAATTAATAATGTGAAATAGGAAGTAAAGGGCTAAAGGTGTAGGGAAAGTGGGAAGGGTGGGGGAAAGGTAATAAGGGAGAGGAAAAAAATATGAGAAACTGAAAAAATGGAAATAAAGTGTTTGTAAATGGGGAGTGGAGGAGGGGGTGAAGGGAGGGCAGGGACAAGAGGAAAAAATGAGAATCAAGACCTATTATGTAAAGGTACAGAATCCCAATGATGAATGTAACTGTATTGTATACCTAGATTGTACCAATAAACTCAATAAAAAGAAAAAAACATTAAATACAGTAGCAACAAGCAAAAATGAAATCTGTGGTTTACATTGAAAAGCATTTTCCCATATGTCCACAAGATGGCGCCAAATCACATCAACTGTAGCAGCTAAAGAAAAAATAGATCTCTAGTTCATATTCTGAAATTTTTTTCCATTTCTCGACAGGATGGCAGCAAAAAATCCGTCGCATACAGCAACAAAGTGTCTGAGTGGTCTGAAATTGAACACTGCGCTTAATGGCACGGTTCCTTTTGTACCTCTGGCTCTCACTTGTTTTTATTAGATTGTTTTTGTTTCTGATAAAATAACTATGAATTCACTGGAAGCTTGGTAAGTGAGAGATAACACAAGTCACACACTGTGGCAATAGTCACATGTGGACAACATTAACAACCTGGCATTAATCTGTACTTTGAGATATGTGATAGAAAGGAGAAGCTACACATTTGTAAATCAAAATGTATCCTGCTTCAGTTCATTTATCTTCTACCATCTCTTGTTAAATTCACCTGGACTCATTTCCCTCACTTCGTTGAGAAGGTGACTTTAAATTTTTTTTAAATTAATTAATTGTTTTTTGTACCAAAAATACTACTCTGGACCTTGAATTTTTGAGGCAGGTGAAGCACCACTGAGCTAAATCCTCACACAAGATGATGGGTTTTTTTTTCCCCCTTTGGTTTTTTGAGACAGGGTTTCACTATGCAGTTGATACTGCCCTGGAACACACTATGTAGCCCAGGTTGGCCTCAAACTCACAGCATTTCTCCTGCCTCAGCCTCTGGAGTGCTGGGATTACAGGCAAGCACCACCACACCCAGCTAAGACAATGATTTTTAAAGGTTTCAAGGTGTTCACGTAGTGGTTCTTTTCAAATTGATTAACTGATTTCAATTAGTCATTTAGGCTCTTGTCTTCCAACTAAAACAAATTTTCCCATTTATCGAATGTTCAGAAAAATACTATAGACTCACTATCCAAAATACATATGACTCACTATCCAAAGTTCATGCACATTGTTTACCATTTTTTCATCATTTTTATGTACTTATGGTAATGAGGAAGGAGCCCAGTGGCCTTGATAATCAACACTTACCCCTATTACCACGTTTTTATTTTGAGAAAGATCCTCACCAAATCTCTAAGTTGCCCAGGCTGCAGTTGAACTTCGGACCCTATTGTTTCACTTTTCTGGTGGCTGAGATAAAATGTCTTCAGTTGACAAATATTGTGCATCCTTTATGTCCATGATCTTGGACATTAACTAGAAAAGTAGACTGCACAAAAAACATAGCATACTGAATTTTAAATACCCACACATTAATAGAATCATGGATGGATTCCTTCAACTGGGTAAAGATCTTCATAGGACATTTACCTGTGTTTGTGTAGACTTAGCTAATAGTCAATAATCTAAAACCCAGTTGAACAAAATTACATAATCTATAAAATAATCTATTAATAAATAGGCTATTTCCAAACATTGGACATCAGAGACTCCTACTTTCACCACATTCCCAAAGGCTCTACTACCTGTGAGGTCTCATAGCCACATACTTCCCCCTTTCCTCCTCCTTCATCCATTACCTGCCTCTCCACTTTTCACCTTCTATCTCTCTCTCCGTTTTCCATGTTGTTAAAAAAAATAAAAGCGTAATGTGGTTGTTCATGTTTGCTACGCATCACTGTAGTGGCTACTAATACAGAGTGAAACTCAGTACTGCAGAAATACCCTGCCTCCTTACCTTCAGCAAACCAACCCTGTCACTTCCTACAGTGTGGCTCTGATCAGGTCACCACTGGATGATGATACCCCACCCAGGGCTGTCGCCAGCAGACATTGATTCCTGTGTCTCTGTTATCATTTCTACCCTTAAAGATAATTTCTTGAATTGCCACTGAGAAGGCCAGAATTCGGAATTGCATCTCCCTGAGCTGTACTCAAGGAATGAACAGAGCACCCTGGGCCACACCTTCTAAAGGCTCTGAAATAGAACTCTTCTTCACCTTTCCACATTCTCAGGGCTTCAAATGCTTTGTCTCCTACATATATCGGGAAACAAGCTAAAATGTAGGCGCCTACCAATCCTCTCAGGCCTGGGTGACATGAAGGGATAATGGAGCGGCAACAAGGCCTTTGGACACTTTGGCATCTGTGTCTTTTCAGAATGTCCTTCACCAGGTCCTGTACTCAACCTGAGGAGGCAATATTCTAAAGGATAAAGGGGGCTGAGACGAAGGTTGCCTTGTCTTCCTTCTGTGGCCTTTATTCCAAGAGTGGTTTGAGGCCCAAAGAGAAGGGCCATTTGCCCCGAGTTAAACAGCAAATATCTTAGTGTGCTGGTGTTCAGGAGCCTTTCACAGTCTTGAGTAGACTTTGCTCTAGTTTCTGAAACAGAATTCTTTTTCCTCCCTCCAGCTTCTCATAGAAGACCCTTCCTGATTTCTTACTATTCCTCCAGCCAACCTGCCAGCACTGTGGCCTACCTCCAATCTGTGGATCCCTCTCCCAACTTCACATGTCCTTCACCACATCAGAGCCTCGAGTTCCATCCTACAAGCACACTGTGGAGGACAGTGTCCCAACTCCAGCACTGCAAGAATAGGTGCCCATCAAACTCACCTGCTCTCTTAGCATTCACAAGTCCCTATTGCCCTGGCAGCCTTCTATTCACATCCCACATCCTCATTTACCTGCTTCTTCCTTACGTGGCTTTACACAGTATATACTTCACCTCCCATGTCTCTGATTTTTACCATTTCCATTCAATAGAGGATGACAGCGATCAGATACCACCATTTAAATGAAATATGGACTTAGCCAGATGGGGACTCCAGTGCCTCATCATTCTTCAACGTGTTTTGGAAGCACTGTACAAAATGGCATTGTAAGAAATGAAAGTGTTGGACTCAGTCTAGGATCTAATCGTGTTTGAGATTCCTTCA